TTTGTGGGCCCAGTTTGTCCTCGGGCGCCCAGGGTTGTGAAGACAAATTCTTCTAAAACGTAGTGATCAATAAGAAAATGTTTTAGTCAATTTGCATAGCTAATTTACATGTTCAAAAATTAATGTCTCACCGATTTGTCCTCCACTATGTGGGAAAACTGGAGCCTGTAAAAAAGGCAAATAAAATAGATTTTACTGTACGGTCAATAAAGGGAAATACAGCATGTAGGAGCTTTGCAACGGTCAGTTCATAACATGATATTTTTATAGCAACAATAAAATTTTGTAAATCAAAGAGAAATTTTGTAAATCAAAAAGAAAAGCAGACTAAGTCTCTCGCTTGTGTCAGCGCGAGAGGTTGCTCTTTCCTTCTTAAACCCAAATGTCCCATCTGACATTTCACAGCTTTCCAATTTCCATTTGATGGAAACGTCGGCGCACTTTCTAAAGGGTTTTTGAAGAGTGCGTTAATTTTAACTCCCATAGATCGTCAGGCTCTAAAAGAGTGAGTGCGAGAGATGTCTCCCAGTGTATACTCTATAACTATATGTGCTGTCACGATTTGAGGGTGGTCCCATTTCTGGGCTTCTCCGTCTATATAGTGGAGGCGCGGTGGCCTCATGGTTAGTGCGCTCGACTCCAGAACGGGCGGTCCGGGTTCGAACCCTGGCTGGGGACAATTCTCTTTGGTAAGACACTTTACTCTCACAGTGCCTCTCTTCACCCAGGTGTGAAATGGGTAACGGCGAATTTAATGCTGGGGGTAACCCTTCGATGGACTAGAATCCCATCCAGGGTGGAGTAGAAATACTTCTAGTCGCTTAATGCTACTGAATCCGGGATGACTTTACCTTTGCCTACTTACTCCAAGAACCGACAATACTCACACTGAAGTTAACCAGCTGACTAAATGAATACCCTTTCTTGGTAGAGAGCACATTTTTTCTCACAACCTTGTCTACATCAAACACTTTGCTGTTTAGCTCACAGATTCCATTTCGGGTGTTCTCGTAATTGAATGACGTGCAGTTTGGGCGCCCCAAACATAACTGTGCGCATGCCATAATGTCATAAGTCCGCTGTTTATGAATGACATATCCCGTCAGCACATGACCTTTTGTAACGCTGATTGTGGATGAACGACTGTCATCTTTTCTTATCAGAATCAGGTTGACTGGACTGCAACAAGTCATTAACAAGGGCAGAACAATGATCAGCCATCTATTTTTTGACTCCATTTTGAATCCCTGTAATTTACGAAAATCAAAACATCAATTTGTTTTCTAGAACGTCACTGTTAAGAGTGAGGAAAAACGGTAATACGAACTAGCCAGAGAGTAAGCAGCTACAGGGGGGCAATGATGATTTTTTCAGCCCTATCCGATATTCCGCTAATTTATAAACTATAATGTCCTGATTTCATTTTGCAAAATGTCATCATACATGACCGTTTTCAACGACGAACATATCATTACAAAACTGTTAAGCTGTGGATGTAAGGAATATATAACACAAACGATGAAGAGCCGTTAAGTTATTACCTTTTTCTATTAAAATGTATACGATTTCAGAATACTATATATGCCGACTGATTATCAATTTAGCTCAACTCAGTGACGTACAATTTGCCGAAAGCATAAATTTTTTTCTTACCTTTATTACAGCTAACCAGTCTCATAGAATATTCGTTGTTATAAGTTATTTCCCTGTACTCAACTGGGATCAATGAAAAGGCACTTAGTTTGATTTTGTAGCAAAATCGCACCTTTGAGTATTTGACACAAGGATAGCCTTAAAAGAAAAAAGAAATCACTTGATATTACTTCGCCAGTAATCTTGATTACATTTGTAGTCACAGCTACTCTTTTGTTCTCTGAAAATACAATATTACCCAGCCTATGAGGACCACCAATCTAGCTGACGCTTGGCAATCTGACCTTCTCCCAAAGAATCTTGTTTGTTTTATTTTCGTAATAAGTAAGCTTTTATTCTTAGTTTGGAACCCAAGATTTGTGATATTTTGTCAATTCGAGATTTATAGATTAAACTAGATTTTTTTCACTGCTTAGAAAGTATTCGTCGTCTTCCGTAGGATTATTATCGTCTGTAATATTTGATTTACTGTCTGCTTCGTACTTGTCTACTTGATCTTGGTCTGCGGTTATGATCTTCTCCATTACGACCCGGCTTGTCAGTGCTGTCCGTAATAACGAGAGCATGTTCGATTCATGAGGTCCCACTTGCCAATGATCCCTGGATGTCTGTCCTCTCTCAGTCAATGCTCTGGTAATCACACGGTTGAAGGAACAGTCCAGCCTTATCTGTAGCAGTTTCACTCCTCACAGCAGGCTGCCTTACTGGTTTAGATGGTTCTACTCGATCAGTCTCTCATAAGCTGTTGGCTCTCCTTAGGCATCTCCACTGATATCGAAGGAAGGCCTGGGTGNCTGATTTCATTTTGCAAAATGTCATCATACATGACCGTTTTCAACGACGAACATATCATTACAAAACTGTTAAGCTGTGGATGTAAGGAATATATAACACAAACGATGAAGAGCCGTTAAGTTATTACCTTTTTCTATTAAAATGTATACGATTTCAGAATACTATATATGCCGACTGATTATCAATTTAGCTCAACTCAGTGACGTACAATTTGCCGAAAGCATAAATTTTTTTCTTACCTTTATTACAGCTAACCAGTCTCATAGAATATTCGTTGTTATAAGTTATTTCCCTGTACTCAACTGGGATCAATGAAAAGGCACTTAGTTTGATTTTGTAGCAAAATCGCACCTTTGAGTATTTGACACAAGGATAGCCTTAAAAGAAAAAAGAAATCACTTGATATTACTTCGCCAGTAATCTTGATTACATTTGTAGTCACAGCTACTCTTTTGTTCTCTGAAAATACAATATTACCCAGCCTATGAGGACCACCAATCTAGCTGACGCTTGGCAATCTGACCTTCTCCCAAAGAATCTTGTTTGTTTTATTTTCGTAATAAGTAAGCTTTTATTCTTAGTTTGGAACCCAAGATTTGTGATATTTTGTCAATTCGAGATTTATAGATTAAACTAGATTTTTTTCACTGCTTAGAAAGTATTCGTCGTCTTCCGTAGGATTATTATCGTCTGTAATATTTGATTTACTGTCTGCTTCGTACTTGTCTACTTGATCTTGGTCTGCGGTTATGATCTTCTCCATTACGACCCGGCTTGTCAGTGCTGTCCGTAATAACGAGAGCATGTTCGATTCATGAGGTCCCACTTGCCAATGATCCCTGGATGTCTGTCCTCTCTCAGTCAATGCTCTGGTAATCACACGGTTGAAGGAACAGTCCAGCCTTATCTGTAGCAGTTTCACTCCTCACAGCAGGCTGCCTTACTGGTTTAGATGGTTCTACTCGATCAGTCTCTCATAAGCTGTTGGCTCTCCTTAGGCATCTCCACTGATATCGAAGGAAGGCCTGGGTGTCAAATAATCAAGTACCGCAAATCTCATCTGGCACTTTGGTTCTTGGTAATAAGAGGATGGATGGGTGAACTACCTAGCTGGCCTCTAGGTGGCTCATTAATAATAAATCCATAACCAAGTCTATAACAACATCGAATAGCACTCAATTTCATTGAATTAAAGAGCATTCCCTAATTTTACATTGTACTGCATTTAAACGTTTCTGAATCTTATTGTTATTGTCAGTCCAATGACGAATTACACGATCATTTTAAAATTTTTCATCTATTTACATAGCAATACCGTGGATAAATAAAGAATACCTAACCGACCTAAAACCCACGCACGCACTTGGCCGATGTTCTCTGCAACAGAATTTCTGAACGAAGAGGTAGAGTTTTTGATAGGTAAGCAAAAACGTGTTTTACATCAAGTCAGCTTCATAAAAGTACTCTTGGTAATAGATTCACTGATATTTTAACGAAAGATCGCTGAACAAGGAAACAGTACTCAGCTAACGTCGAGAGATCGTTTGAGGAAGTGAGATGACTAAAGATGGCGCAATTAAACAAGCATTTATTTATTTATTCATTCATTTATTTATTTATTTACAATTTGAACAAACAAGAAGATCTTAGATTAAGGTTACTTTTTTCCATAATTAGATCTCTAAGATCATATGATTCTTTGCACGTACCACTACATCTCTTGACAAGCGTTCTGTGATTAAGCGAGAGTTGACAATTATAACTCTGAGTACAGTTCTTAGCCAGTGGTCTGGTCATAGTGTTGCTTCAAGTCTTAAATTTGATAATAACTTTCCCGTGGCCTTTATTAACACCCACCATGTTTAGTTGATTTGTTCCGTTATTATACGAGCCCCCTCCACCTGCCACACCACTGGACGAGGTCCCAACAACTCCTCCACCGGAATACCCGCCCCCGCCACCACCAAGTACAAAGGCGAATGCGCCCCCTCCAAAGCCCCCTTGCGACACCGGACATGTTCCCCCAGTTCCGCCATTTATAAAACTTGAGGGCGTCTGTGCAATCACAGGTCCAGGTCCCCCGTTTCCATCGCCCTTTAGTCCTGCTCCTCCTCCAGCTATTAAGCGAGAATCAATGTTGCCCGTTTTAAGGTCACAGACTTGTCCACCGGACCCTCCCGTCCCACCACACCTGGTGCCATTCTCTGTTGTCTGACCAGGATCACCGTCTTTAAATTGTTTGCGCGCTGAACCTCCACCCCCTCCCCCTCCTGCAATGATTAGCGGAGTGTTATTTAGCAAAGCCACAAAAGTACCACCTCCCCCACCTCCTGGGGCGTCGACGCTGAAGCTCACACCACAATGACCCTCTTGACCAACAAGGATTTTAAGTTGTGTTCCTTGATAAAGTTTGAAAGTTCCTTTTATCTTGGCTCCAAGGCCACCGAGCTTCCAAGATACGGGATCTTTGCTGCCATTCTTGCTACTAGCGCCTGAAGCACCTGACACTTCAATGACGTAGATTCCAGTCACGGGAACAGTCCAAATTTGGATGCCATTGTCTAATGTTACTTTACCTTC